TGGCATGTGGTGCTAGGGGATTGAACCGCGGTCCCTGTGCTTTGCTAAGCTTGTTCTAAGTAGGTGCTTTAGACCACTGAGCCATCTCACCAGCCCCCAGGAACATAATTATTATGTATCACAAACACATACTAATAAAAAAAAATTTAAAAAGGGGAAAAATCTGATCGTTCTCTCATTTCCAATAATATGTCTACTCACTCTGTAAGTCTTCAGTGACTGTCCATCAGGTCACTGATCCATAGGATACGGTCCTCGTCTCTGGGGTGCTCCTCGGCCCCTGACACCTTGGGGAATTCTACTCTTCCGGGTGCTCCAGGGAGCTCAAGCTGGAAGTAGTTTCTACCTTCTCCTCTAGCATATGGTTTTTGCTCTTTTGCATCTTCTATCCTTATTGTCTCTCAAACTGAGACTGCCCTGGGCTCTTGAAACCCTGCCCTTTCTGCACCATGAGCTGACCACACTCCTGCCACCCAGCCCCTCCTGCGTCATGGTCACTAGTGGCCTACTTTCCATAGAGCACAAGCCAGGGTCATCTCCACACTGGCCTCCAACCAGGCTCTGATAGCTCCTCTAGGCGTCAGGAAAAGGTACTGTCGGGGAGCACAGCTAGGCGAGGAGACCCTGCCTCAGCCATGTCTTCTGTCCCGGGAATGGAGGTCAGCTCCCACTCACTGCCTGGCCAGGTTCTATACAGTGGCCCTACAGCTTTGTCTCCTTACTTTATCTCTCCACTCGCATGCTTCTGGGCCCTCCACTGCAGCCAGCTGGTCTACTTTCCTGAACCAGGGTGGCATGCTCTCCCTGTAGCCAATGTCTTAGGCCTCTCCTCCTCACTGCCACCATCCAGTCTTCCTTATGAGCTTCATCTGCTCTGGATTTCTGCAGACCTTAGGGACTGCAAGGGTCCTCATTCAGCACACACGGACTGGGGAATTTTATACAAAACTGGTCAGAGTGAGCCCCATCTCCTCTATTGAACTGCAAGGGTTTTGAAGGCAGTGAGAAGGCATCTCCACCTTGCTTTTTCCAGAAGGCTTACTGTGGCCCATGTAGTGACAGATGTTGGTGAGAATGATAGACTGACTTTAAAAAATGATCCTCCAAAGGTAAAGTAGATTACAGGGAGTAGTTATTAAGCTTTGCTGGTCTTATTTGAATTCCTAATACTGGGAAGTAGTGCCACTTTGCTTCTCCTCAAGCACAGTAGTTCTCTACCTTTCAAAAGTAGATTTTAGACTGGGCATAGTGGCATGTGCCTGTAATTCCAGAGCTTGGGAGGCTGAAAACAGAATCACTACGAGTCCAATCTGTGCAGTGAGACCCTGTAGACCCTGTACTAAATCCAAGAAAAAGTAGATTTTACCTCAAAAGTAGATTTCACCTCTCAAGAGAGGGTCTGAGGCTGTGATTTTTTTTGGAATCCCCAAGCTCACCCCTGTCTACTGCACCCCACCACAACAAGCTCACTTCCGGGCTGACATCACTTCCTCAGCCTCTGGCTTGCTTTTTCACTTCCTGCACCACTACTAGCAGCTGTAGGTTTTGTTTTGTTTTTGCTTCTTCAGGTGGTACTGACAAAGAAACTTCAAAAGCAGTCATTCCCATCTGTGTTTAGGCAGATGCAGGCTGATCTCCAGGGCCTCCTGGCCAGCAGAGCCATCCCTCCCCAACCCCCAGCACCAGGCACCCCAGGGTTTTGGGTGTCTCCATAGAGGCCCTCTTCAGTTCCTGCACATCCACATTTGCACACTGAGGCCTTCTCTTTTCATGCCTCCACCCTGAAGCCACACAGGAAGTTGCTCAGCTGATAGTTAGGGGGCCTCTGCCACTCACTATTCCTTCCTCAACCAAGGGAGGACAGTTTCCCTCTGGCAGAAGCCCTCATTCCTCCAGTACAAAGTGTAAGCTTGCCATGGCCCTCAAACAGGAGTCTGCTTGAAGCTTAAATTTGCTTTGTTCTTTATGTCCAATTCATTTTCACAAGAGACGAGAGACATACATCATAAGAAACCTCCAGCCTGTGACTTAAGGCACCCTGATTCCTCTCTGAGGAGGGAACCTATATCTAGGACAACTTCTTCAGACCTCTCTCCCAGCCCAACAAGTTGGGGGGCTCCTGAGTGGCTCTCTCCTCTGCCATGGGGCCCAATGAGCTCAGGGAAGAGCCCTGCAGCTTTGAGTAGACTTGGGAGCCCCACCTGCTGAGCTTTTCAGGGACAGCCTGAGTGTCCCAGACGTGCAGGGTGAACCCCAATCCCTGAACATGATCCCTGTCCCTTGAAGACAACTAGTTGAGCTGAGTGTCCAGGACCAACCTACCGTCCCTCTGAAGGCAAGCAAGGAGTCAAGCACAGGAGGGACAAGCCATGCTCAGGCAGGGAGCTTGGTGTGGAGCAGAGAGAGGGCAGTTACTGGGAACCCAGATTGCTGCAGCCCACAGTCCAGGGAGGAGCACAGTTTCCTGCTCAGTGTGACTGGAAATCACCCTAAACTACACAACTGCACTTTCTCCTTTTCTCTTTTCAAAAGCCCCGGTCCTGCTAAGGTTGACTCCTGTGAAATGGCAAGCCTTAGTTTCAAGGGGGAGTCTATGCATGCCTCCAGACAAAGAGAAGGGAAGAATTTGGGGGACACATCTTAGGTGGAAACTGGAAGGTGGCTGCCAGGACCCCACAAGGTTTGGCCGGTATAGGAGGGTCTCCAGACTTCCACGTAGCTGGGCCTCAGCCTGGTTACCCCTTAGAGATGGGCAGCGCCACCCAATACACACAGTCCCACAAAGCAGGGACATGTAGAGGAGGCTGAAGTTTATCAGAAATAAGGTCATTTGACTTCTAGAGGAGGGGAGCTTCCCCAAAAGTTACAAAAGATGCGACAGTCCAAAAGTGGGACTTCAAGAGCCCAAGGCAACTGAACCCCCAAACGGGCAGGGGCACCGGCCCCCCTGCCAGCTCTGGTTCTTGTTTGCCCCCAGCTCTTCAGAGTCCATGCCGTTTTCTTCTGCTTACAATTTGCCCATATATGAGCCTAATCTGCACTTTTTGTTGTTGTTTGTTTAAAGCACACAAAACCCCGATTGAAATACCTGAGTTTTCAGAAAGGCGCCCCCCTTTCCCGCGTTCCTGCCAAGCCCTCGCCCGCCGCAGGGGTCCCCCAGGTAGGATGGAGCACGAGGCACCGGGGCAGCAGGGATTTGCCCTTCTCGGCAGCCGCCTTGAGCTATGAGACCCTGCCCTAGGCTACCTGGGGAGAGAGAGGGGGCGCTGAACACCCCGGCCGGCGACCTTTACCTCCATGTCCTCCAGGTCGTCCTGGCCGGAGCTCGTGGTCCCCGCGGTCCCTGTGCGCCCAGCCGGGGCGAGTGGGCGGCGCGCGCCGGGCTGCGCTGTGCTGCGCTCAGCTCCGCGGAGAACCAGGAAGGAGCAGCGGAGGAGGAGGGGCGGGGAGGGAGGCCGACGATCGGGGTTTAAATATAGACACAAATCTAAACAGATACTGTCCCTCCCAATCTGCCCAAACATGGATGGGCAGCCGCCGCGCCCCCTCTCTCGAGAAGTTTCTCAGGACCCTGGGCCTGTCCCTCATCTCTCCCTCCCTGAACACGCTTGCTTTCTTCTTCCCACTCTCCAAGTTAGCGCTGGCCTGCCCTGCTTTCTCTTTGCTCTCTGTTCCATTTCCTTCTTTTATGCCCATCCTGTCTGCTTGCCTTCCCTCATCCTCCCTTTCTCTTTCTAGGTTGCATTAATGTCACACCTGACTTTCCTGGAGGCCCTGGGGGGCTGCGTGGCAGCGGCAGAGGGGGGAGTCCTGGCAGGGCCACTTTCCCACCCACGTCTCTCTTGCTTCTCCACCCTCCGGCTCTGCTTCCAGCAAACCCGTATCAATGTATAGATCGGAGTCTATCTGAGTATCAGGAGCGGGAGGAGAAGAAAAGCAAGGAATCCAAGCAATGTTTTCCACGCTCCCCGCAGCAGTAAATCTTTTCCTCAAATCTGCTTTGATTCATGCATTCGGGTTTGTGGGAATTTCAGCTCCCACAAGCTGCTAAAGGGCCTTTTTCTCCATTCCTATTAAATATAGTCCAGGGCAAGATCCTAAACATCCGATTCCCATAAGGCTCAGTTTAGCAACCCTCCCCCAGGGCCATCCCAGCCCAGGGGCAGCACAAATGCTGTGTGGGAGAGATGTGGAGGCTGGGACCTGCTCAGGGTCACTGTCCTGCGCCAGTTTAGGTACTGGCCCCTTGCAGTGCTTCCCAGACACCCGGAGAATTGCCTGTGGAGACCTGAAGCGGAAAGGATGGGCTGGTAGGGACGGCGCTGTGGTCCTGTAACATTCCTGTGTCCCTTTAACCCTGTCCCCAAGCCCTGGCCCTAACTAGCTAGGGAAAGGGAGAGCCATCCCAGAGGGGACAGTGACACAGCCGCCAGTGAGGGCTGAGCAGGAAACAAGCTGAGACTTGCCCTGGTTCTGCTTCTCACTGAAGACCATCTGCGGTTTCCAGGCGCTTCCCCTGCTACTTTGGGCACCGATCTGAGAAGTAAGGCTGCCTCCTGTCACAGACCCTTCCGAGGCTTGACTTTCTATATCAGATACCAGCATGGCTTTTAGTTCATTTACTCAGGTGAGCTTAGGACCAAGACCCCTGATTTAAAAAGCAGATAGACAGAGCCAGATATGGTAATGAATGCCTGTAATCTTGGCACTTAAGGCCGAGGCAAGAGGATTGCTGTGAGTTCAAGGCCAGCCTGGGCCAAAGAATGAATTCAAGGTCAGCCTGAACCACATAGTGAAACCCTGGCTCAAAGAAAAAAATAATAAAGGAAGAAAGAAAGGCGGCCAAATAGCTCAGCAGATTAAAGGGGCTGCAAGCAGGCACAAGGGCTGAGGTTCAATCCCCAGCCTGCCATGCTGGCCCCACCCCCTGGGGCGTGCTAAGAAGGCAATTGAGACTGGGCGTGGTGGCGTGCACCTGTAATTTTAGCTCTTGGGAGGCTGTAAACAGGCAGATCACTACGAGTCTACTCTAGTAGTGAGACCCTGAACACCCTATAGACCCTTCCCTAAAATACAAAAAAAAAAAAAAAAAAAAAAAAAGAAAGAAAGAAAGAAAGAAAGAAAAGAAAAAGAAGAGACAGATGGAAAGTTGAATCCCAACTCTGCTGCACACTAGCTGTGTCTCCTTAGACAGGTCCCTTAACCTCTCTGATCAGGAGCTCGGCAAAAAGTAGCTATTTTTATAATGCTTAGCATACAGCACAAGTTTCAAATAAAGAAGGTCTTGATATTCCCTTTACTTAGAACCCAACCCTCTGGCAGAAAAGCCCCATTCCCAGGAATTAATGGGGAGCCCCTCTCATTCCAGCCTCATGCTGCAGGGTTGGTGTACTGGGCAGAGCTGGCAGCAGGAAGCATGTTTCCTGGGAACTTGAAACAGAGCCTTGAGCTTGTGACATTTTCCCTTTCTTCTTTGTCAAGAGGAGGACTGGGTCTGTGGTGGGAGCACTAGCTTTTACAGTGACTTTTTTTTTTTTCGGAACCAGGGATTGAACTCAGGCCCTTGTGCTCGCCTGAGTTCAATCCCTGGCTTATTCTACTGAGCCTGAGACAGGGTCTTGCTATGCAGTGCAGGGTGGTCTTGAACTCATTAAATTCCTCAGGCTGGCCTCAGATTTGTGGCTCCTTGCCTGCCTCAGCCTCCCAAGGTCTGGGATTATAGGTATGACCCCACTGCGCTAGCAGATCCCTTCCTTCTGTGCACAATGCCCTCCTACCCCACCAGGTTTGGCTACACCAGCAGGAGGGTGGAAACCGTTAGGCTGATGACAGATAACATCGCTGGTGCCCAAGGTGACTTGCAGCAGCTGTTCACATCCTGCTCACACCCTCCCCGGGCACAAAACAGAGGACCCAGGAAGCAAACATGTGTGGGTACCCTGCTCCCAAGGCACTGCTCCTGGGGTGCAGGCAGAGACCTACTCTGAAAGAACAAGTGCAAAAGGGCAAGCAACAGGCCAGAGCTGGAACTTCTTTCCTAGTCCCGGAAAGATCCCCAGAAAGCGTAGGTGATGACAACACTGGTAAACACACTGTTCTTGCTGGTTTCTGGCTGCTCTGTGGGAGGAACTGACAACCAAGGAGAAGAGAAAGTGGCTGTGAAGTTGGTCCCCGCCCCCCAGGGAATCTGGCTCACTCAGTGGGATGTGCTGCCTTCCTGCTCCTCTGGGCCTTCCCCTTCACGAGCCTGACAGTGGGAACCATAGACAGCGGACAGTCAGGAATCAGTGCAAGGACACCAGAGAGGTGGTGTGGACTGGGAGGGATGTGGTGGAGGGCCCACGATTCTACCACAGGCTTCTCCAGGCCCGCATGGCCTTCATCAGATAACGTGGAAGAACGAAGGGATGCCTGCCTGCATGCATACATGAATGATGAAGCACATTGATAGAATTTTTGCTACTGCATCAAAGGTAGGGCCTTTCCAAGATGAATGTCCAATGGCAGAAAAGACCTAATGGGACAGAAAGCAGCAGAGATCATGCTGAGCAGTAACTGAATTAGACTTCAGGACTATACAGTGTTCTAGGCAATCAGCTCGCTTCGTAAGTGGCCACGCTGTGCTTCCAATCATCTGTTAAGGTTTAGAGCAAGAAATGACTATTTTTGCTTGACTGTAAGTACTAATCAAAATTTAAATGCAGAGTATCACCGAGAATTAGTTCGAAGATAGTGCACCGTGCGGAGGCCGAAATCTTGTGGATGCTCAAATCATTTCTGTAAAATGGCTCTGGATGTGCATGGAAGATACGTGTCACCGGCGGCACAGTGTAAGTCATCTCTGGATTATGGACAATAGTCCACACAATGTAAATGGTGCCTGAAGAGCTGTTGTACTAAGGCACAGTAACAAGTTCAGTCTCCCCCCAGATACTTTCAATCCACAACTGGTACACCCCACAGAGGCAGAACTTGGAGACACAGAGGACTGACTCTAGAGTTCAGCTCTAAATCCTGGAAAGGTAGAAAAAAAAACCAAAACCACCACAAAAACCCCCCATTACTTCCACCACAAGTGACAGTCATTGGTAAGTGATATTGATGACCCCGAGGGGAAAGCACAAAGAGAGGAACATGTTTATGGATTTACTGCAAGGAGGCAGTGATGAAGATAGCATCGAGGCTCCTGATGGGCCCTGGGGCCTGGGCACAGGAGCCCCAGGGAGGTCAGGAGAGTGGCCCCTTAAAGAAACTGAGTGTCATGCTTACTCTTATGTCCCTAGGATACAATACCCAACCCCAGGGGCCAGGGAGATGGCACAGTATTATAAGTGCTTCCCTGGCAAGCACAAGGGTCTCAGTTCAATCCCTGGTTCTGCCAAAATAACAACAACAACAACAACAACAACAACAATAATAATAAAAACCAATACCCAACCCCAGTTTAGTTGGTTTAGAGATTTTGGTCCATGCTCAGTTGGCTCCAAGGCAAAGCAGCCCAGCAGAAGGGTGCCGCTCACCTCATGGCAGCCAGTAAGTAGAAAATGAAGAGCTGCCCACATACCCCCGGGGACCACCTGCATGCAGACCCCATCTCCTAAGGGTACACATAGCTCTGAGCTTCTTTGATAAGCAGAGCAGCCCATGATCCTGTCAGCACTAAAAGCCCTGCCTCTGAGCACAAGAGCATTCGGGGAGACAGCCTTTAAGTCGTGACACGGGGCACTCCGTAGGCGCATTGAGGATAATAGGAGCTGACTCCTCCTGGCTGGGGAAGGGACGGATAAGGACATCTTGTGGTGTTTGGTGGGAACAGAGGTGCTGATGCTGATGTGAATCCATGTTTCCAGGGTTACAAACAGGTATAAGAGTAAATGTAGATATAAAAGTATGTGTGCACAGCTACATTTTCTCATTTGGTACCCTGAGGGAGCTTGGGAACTATGATAGACCAGAAACAGCTGGTGCCATCGGAGCCCAGGGCTTGGTTTTTAGATACCTTTTCTCTACTGACAGAACCGGGACTCCCTGGAGGAAATGGCTGCTACCGGGCTGGGGACCAAATAAGCAAAGCCTGGAATATCATGCAAGAAAGTAAGGTCATGCTCACTGAATGATGGGGAGATGCTAAAATGTCACATGAGTCAATGTGCAGAAATTCCTGCTACCAATATCGGGATAAAACAAGCATCAAAATCATGACAGCAATGGGGTCAGGGAAATAGCTCAGAGGCATGAGCACCTGCCTGGCAAGTGCAAGGTCCTGAGTTTGATCCCTGATACCAAAAAATAAAAAAAATAATAATAATAATGGCAGCCATGGATTATAACTCTTTGAAGTTCATTAATTCATGATGATGTAAACAAGTAAGAGAATAGGCGAAGAGAAAACTTTCTGAGTCCAATGCCAACTAGTAAATGTCAAAAGAAAAGT